GTCTCTTTGATACATGTGCAGTGCAGCCAAATATTTAGAAATGATGTTTTTAAGAAAGCTTAGTTTTGGCGAGCCAAGGTTAACTCACATATGTCAGGAACATTCAGTTCTTCACCTTTTCCCTCTGAATTCGAAATGTTTCCGGAGGTTTACCAGTGTACATGTTTATGTCATTCTTGCCACCTTGGCCTCTACCTCCTCTAGATAGATCCAAGATTAGCTGTTGGTAAAGATTATTCTATTTTTCTAGTTTTCTATTCGTTAATCCGGCTCTTCTTGCCTTGTCAAGTCAACAGCGTTCGTTTAGGATTTGCATCCGAGCACTTTGTTTTATACCCAGCCACCTGGTTTAATTACCCTTGGCTTGAGCTGGAATTAGCATAAAAGTGAGTGCAGTGTCATGTTTTTTAAAGTAGAAATAGAAGAAGATGTAGAATTACAAGGCTGAGTACTAGACGATTGAACACAAGCGGGAATCCGTTAGTCCCCTACACATGTAAATTCTTCTTTACATTGCAGAAGATCACGAAAAGCAATCCAATATAAACAACAGTCAAACCGGATGTTCGTTGAACTCTGCAATATGGCGGCGTTATTTTCAATTCAAATTTCCTCGAACAAAGTTGTCAAGTTCCGTTTGAGCTTTGAAAAGTTGCTGTCTTCTTTATTTTCTCTCCAAAATTTAATAATTCGTTTTTGTAATGGAATAAAATAACAATACTACGGAGTCAAAGAGAGAGCAAATAACTGCTCTATGGTCGACAGTTTATCTGCCAAAAAACTGTGAAAAATTAATGACAGGTTTAGTTCAAATCGCCAAACTGGAAACTGCGCTTCTGAATAGAAAATGTAAGCCGAATTTTTTTAGCTCAGTTCAATAAATTATATGTTTTTACCTATGTCGGTATAAAATTCTGCCTTTTAAAAACGGAAAAACTTGATTAAATGCGAGCCAAAACAGCTCTAGCTGTATGCTCGATGCCAATAACATTTCTGCAAGAGGCTATGTTTGTCATATCAGGTTTTAGTGTCCGCAGTCTGCCTCCAAAATTATTTCAATGCCATCAAGTCAAGAAAACAGAAATTTCATACGCTATAAAATAAGACTATTCACAAGAATATTTCCGGCTTAAAATCGGCAGAAAGATAAGAATATTCAGTCTAGGTCAGAAAAATCATGAAAAACAGAATGTGTTCAAAGCGTCAGTAAATGAAGTCTTAGTAATAAGACGACGTTCTTAAATTTTTGAAACGTATCACCTGATTCCTACATCATCACCCGCAATATTTATGCCCCAACGAAGTTGTTTAGATCAACTTGTAGCAATATTTGTCGATTAGCAGCATTTCCTGCTACGTAAGTACAACAGCAAGTAACCATCTGTTAAGTTGAATTGACCTGTTGCGATGTGGCTTCTTGGAAAATTATCGTTTAGGTGATTAAGGGTTGAAAATTTCAGAGATTTAATTTTGAAATGAATAACGAGATGCAGTAGACTTGAAGAAATAGATTTCTGGATTGTATTCTGCGATCTTTTTCGCTTCTCCCTGTATGGTTGATGTCACTTCTATGTGTATTTGTCTTCTGGTTCTACTTCAACGGCATCACAAAGTACGCCGTTGCTATATCATTCAACGAGCGGTGCATTCAACTAAAAAACAACTAGGTCAGAGAAACTTACAGGAGACTTAAAGTTATATAGTTTGTGTTTGCAGTCTCGGCTGCACATGAAATAATTCAAGGAATGCAGTGCAGAGTGTGTTTTGCTATTCGTTAACCCAGATTTTGTTGTTATCTTTTCCAGCATCCCAGACTACCACTGCAAATGTTAGCTCACTAACATCAAGCCCAGCTCTCTCTTTGGCGACAAGTAAGTCAACAATTGCAGATGTGTCCAATCAAAGTGGTTTCTTCACGTCAAGTTTCTCTTCGTTCTTGAGTCAGAACACTTCCTCGTCAATGAGTGAGTTGTTATATTTCTTTGCATGAGTCAGTCGATTGTCTTTAGACAAAGCGAACTAGTACCATAGGGAAATATTTGCTCTTTTCTTTCGTATGACCTAAAATGCATACGTCAACGGTGTCTGGGAACTGCTTCAGAGCATTAAGATACATCGAGTGAGCCAGGGAAGATCGTTGAATTACTTTCTATTCGTCTAAAAATAATTTTCAAAGTATTTTATTTTGAGGTAGTTTTTTCGCTTGGAATTGAAGAGACATTGAGATTGAGATGTTTAGAGAGAGTATTCCCCTAGTCTATTTCGTGGGCAGTCCATCTTAAAGGACTGCATTGTCAAATTCGGAGCATTTACAAGATTCTCCTTTTTACCTTCGTCCAGTTATAATTATAATGTGTTAAACTCTTTTGGAAGACCCACTAAGAAGCACTTAAAGAGGATCTGGAGGAAATGCTTCAGCTTCAAATATTATCAGCTAATTAATGCTATT